CTTTCTGGAAGCAAACAAAAATGTCTGAAGCACCAAGATTAAAAACTACATGAATGCATTTATGTGCTTAGTCTGAATTCTCTTCTTGTTTAAAATGTGTTCTTCTGTCATTCAGTTTGATTTAGCCCAGAGTCTGAACACCTGGTTACCAACCTCCTCCTGGTTAATCCTATTCAGGATTTCCATGTTTCCCTACGTAGAAGGTCTTTGGGGGTCCACTGGACCCCAAGAAAGAATATGTGAAAACATTTGTTGGTGTTCATTACAGACTTTTATACTGTGTTAAATACATTTTCTGATAAGTTGATGTATTTTGGTTCCCAATGCACGACAAATGTCCCTCTTTTTATATATAAAAAAAATTAAAAATAAACAAAAATCTTTTTTTTAAAAAAACAAAAAACAATACCTGTCACTTAAGACAAATGGCCTGGGGTCCAAAAGACCCCAAAAGTCCTGAATGGGATTAAAAGTGAGGACATCTGAAGCCGTCACAAACCAGTTTTATGACGTCTTTGTTTCTTTCAACGAATTTTGCTGCAAGATGCTCAAACAGGAATCGATTATAAAATCCTGTGCAGGAGCAAGACTTAAACGACACATCATATGTAGTTGTTTTGTGATTTCATGGTCGTCCGTTTGCATCTCTTTGTAGCTGTTTTGTTTGTAGTGATCATGTTGTGTGTCTGTCGTCAGTTTGTGTCTCTTTGCAGTCAGTCTGAGTTTCTTTTTGGTACTTTTCTGTCTCTTTGTTGTGTTTTTTTTTTTTTGACCGACTTTAAACAAGAAATCTTATCAGACACTTCTTTTTTCAAATTTTAATAAATGTTAAATAGGATAAATCTTTTTTTTTTAAAATAATAATTTGTGAAGTCACTCAGTAAATTATTAAATCTCATTTTAATCTATAAAATGTTTTTTAATATCAGATTTTAGGAAGTCACTTTTATTTTATAATATACTTTATTTCACTTTGCCCTGTTTTTAAAATGTGTTTTTAATTCATAACAGCATTTTTCCCAAGTTACAGTTTTGTTTCAACAAATCACTCATAACGATGATTTAAAGAGCAGTGCCGCACATTTTGTAGTAATTTTACTTTGAAATGATGCAATAATGGGCTGCACAATGGCTCCATGGTTTGCACCCCACAGCTAGAAGGTCGCCGGTTCGTCAGGATCTTTCTGTGTGGAGTCTCCATGTGGGTTCTCTCCAGGTTCTCCGGCTTCCTCCCACAGTCCAGAAACATGTTGAGGTTAATTGGTGTGTGATGGCCGCACTGCAGCCCCACAAATAGTATCCTCACACCACACCTTTTGATTTCTGTCATTTAGTTTCTACACTTTTTACAGTCGTCATGCACACACATCAACTGACAGATAAATCCCATGACACATGGTAAATGGTAAATGCTCTGCACTTATATCGCGCTTTTCTACCTGTACATAGGACTGATTCCATATGCAATACTCACAGCTTTATTTATACACAACATTGTTCCTAGTTTGTTGGCACGCACATTCTCGTTACTTTGTCATTGTGTGTTCTGTTTACTGTCTTTTCTTTATTAAACCATTAGTTCCAGGTGTGGCCCCAGTTAAGAGGCGCCAGTGTGCCCAGCTGCCCCAAATCCTGGTGATGAGGGGTAATTGGAAGGGACCAACTGTGGCTGCTCCAGAGGGGTGGTAAAAAGAAGTCTTCTCACTATTTGATTTGTTTACTGTTAAAAGCATTTGTTTGAGTTTGTATATAAGTAGAATTATGTAGAATATGTATTTTTGTTTTCCCTTAAACCAAGCCTTATGTCTCTTGTGCTTTGTTTAGTTGTGTTTGTTTCTGTCCACCCCCCTGTTTAATGGTCTGATCAGCCAGTTTAAAACAACCCCAGTGTGTGTGTCAGTGTTTGGTCAGTTTGTGCTCTGTTGGGTTTGGGTTTGGGTTAGGGTGGGATTTGTTTCAGTTATTTTATTTGACCTCTTTTTATGGGCCCAGAACTGTTTTTGCTTTTCATTATGTCATATCTATTTGGTATTTTTGTTCAATAAATGCCTAGTTTTGAAACTTTCAACTTGTTGTCCTTGTGCCTGCCTGCTCAGTCCCTCACATGGTGATTCTAAATTGTCCGTAGATGTGAGTGTGCTTGGTTGTCTGTCTCTAAGTGTAGCCCTGTGATAGACTGGTTACCTGTCCAGGTGAACCTGCCTTCACCCTGAGTCAGCTGGGATAGACTCCAGCCCCCCATGACCCTAGTGAGGGTTAAGGTGTAGAGGTGATGGATGGATGAAACAATGATCAGGTTAAAATCTAAAGACTGGACTAAGTCCCTCATGTGTCAAGATCCTAACAACAGCAATGATGTGTACATCAGGGATATCTAACATTAACAAGGCTACAGGTTTGAAAACCTTTAATGTTTAAGGGGCTGCTTCAAATCTTTGAAAGTTCTACTGGGAAAGTTTCACATATTACAGAAAAGTTTTATTTTTTGTTACTACTTAATAATCCTCCACATGACTCTCATCTGAACAGTAAAGAAAAGTTTATATATGTATGTTCTAATTCAAAAGAGGCTTATTTTATAATGTCACTATGACACTAAAATAACCTCAAGACCACTTCCTGGATTTTCTCAGACCAGTAAAATGATTTCAGTGCTATTTAGAGTTTAGTAAGGTCATCTTAAGGAGGGGAAATATTGTTTTTCTATTATGCTTCATTTGTTTCTTGTTGCTCTATTGTGTGAAAAAAAGTTTATATTGAAAATGAGGCGTCTGTACCTCAGAGTTATCTATATACTATACCAGGGAAATGTACCTTTACATGCTACAACAGCTAAATGCAAAAGAGGCACTAAAGAAGCAGGACAAGAATTCCATATCGTACAAAAGGGCTAAAAATGAAGATAGCATGCTGGTCTCAAAAAGACAACGTACAATGTAGGATGGATTTAGAATGAAAATCAGAATCAAAAAATACTTTATTGATCCCTGAGACAAAGTGCTTATGTTACAGCATGCTCCCAAGGAAATACAAACAGTACAAAATATAAACACAAGTAGAAAGATATGAACTAACAATATAAACATAAGTGGAAACAGCGTAAGTTTAAACCTAATATGTTTTTTCTAATATATGGATATATACAGATATGACATGATGAACATACCTAAACTGCTCAAAGACAATTAAGGGAACACTTCATCGCAGTAGGACAACACGTGTTCCCTTAAGTTTTCTGAGCAGCATATATTCAGGTTCATGTGTCCACATTTCTGTTAATGCAGTCAAACATTACTGTGAGAAAATAAAAGCTTCAAAAATACATTAGCAGATGAAAAAAAAATAACATAAAAATAAACCTTGAACATATGTCATTAACCCTTTACAGGGCACTCCTTGAAATACTTGGAAAATATAAATTTCATTTCATTCACAAAAAAACATTTCGTGTTGTTGAAGGATAGTTCAAGATATTTTTTATTCTTGTGACTTTACAAAAAGATTTTTGCAAATCAAGATTAATACAGTTACCATATATGGTCATTTGCCCGTCTATGGTTAAAAAAAAAAGGAATTTATAATAAATAAAAGAAAAAGTAATAAAATGGAAAAAAACATTTATTTACAGAACATTTTAATTTGAGGTGATGATTCTGACACAACCAATAACACAGTTTTTATAAAGTGTCTGAACAAGTGCACCTGGTTCCTCAGGGCGGACATATTGAACGTCCCAGGAAGTTACCAAATATGCTCACTTGTCCCTTAGAGGGTTAATATCGGCAATATTGTTAAAATATCGATTTGTAGTCAGTCTGTGGGTTTTTGCTGCCACATGTGGGCTGTTGCAGCAGAAAGTAGGCCACCGTCGTCTTTACGTCGCCGTGCGTCGCCTTACGTCTGACGTCAGCGCGTCAGCTGGCCGAATGTTTACATCCAGCAGCAGCGGTGTGTTTGTGAGCGGAGCCCCAACAACAAAAGACCGAACAGCGGCCGAACCCAGCGGGACACGGACTCTCCGGCGGCCGTTACAGCAGGTACCGGAGCGGCTCGGCGGGGTTTGGGGCGCGGAGCCGCAGTGGACGAGGCGCCGCTGCGGGTCCTCGCTGCTCCAGTTAGCTTCTCATTCTTCTCTCGGTTTTTTTTTTTTTTTTTCTCCTCCTTTTCTTCCAGCGAGGAGCCGAATGCGGTTGTTTCCGTTTGTGTTGACCTTGTCGTGGCGTGACAGCTGCTCACACGCGTGCCCTGTTGTTTTTCTGCTCGGTTCTCGGCGTTTCTTTCACCGTCAGAGCGCGATTTCTTTTGCGTTTCTTCGAAATTGGATCACCTGAGTGGCGCAAACAAGCCGCCGCAGCAGCAGCAGCCGCGTGCGGACAGTTTGCGTTAAAACCAGACGTGTGTTTGTTTTGAGTCGCAGTTAAAAAAATGACAAACCCCCGCAGGAACCAGAGTAGCTGCGGGAGCTAATTCACTGAATCAGCAGATGAATTGTGAGGCTCAAACGGCGGTGTTGTGCAGGAAGTGTGTACCCTACTAGCCTACTAAACCACTTAGTGTGATCCAGATTGGATCAGCAGCGCCCCCCTGCGGCCACCTGCGCTCACAGGAGCACCGATAAACAACCAGAGCTTTATTTATACAGCAGCTTCTCACAGCAGTGGATAAATAAATGATAAAAGCACCGAAAATAGCTTATAAAGCCAAGGTAAAATAAGCTAGAATTAAACAAAAATAAAAGGCAACAGCATAAAAATAAGGGGATTAATAATTAGAGATTGATAGATGGTTTATTCGTCGTCATTTAAGAAAAAATAAGGAAATTAAAGTGCTAATAGAGGAAATAAGGTGCAATATTGTGTCGGTATTTACAATAAGTAGTAATAACTGTATGTATGCAGCACATGTTAGAGTTTAAAGACAGGATAAAAAAAAGAGGAGACATAGAAAGACAACAACATGCCTGTCAGTCTGCACAGAAAGAATAAAAAAAGACCAGAGAAGCAAAAGTTAAATTTGACAGGAGATTAACAAATTACATTTTAAAAAAAGACACCAAATTAAATCATAAAAGCAGCAAAAGTTAATTACAAAGAAGAGCAGAAAAATAAAAACAAGGGTAATAAATGTAATGATCACTCTTTTCTATGTAGCGTCTTTTAAATACAGAGTTTACAAATTGTTTAAAGACAAAAAAGGACGACAACATTACAACAGAAAGACCAGAGAAGCAAAAACATGGTGAGAGAAAATAAATCAACACAACGACACCAAATAAAATATTTAAAGCACCAAAACCACCAAAGTAGATTAAAAGGAAATAGAAGGTAAATTTATAGAAACAAGGGTAAAAAAAAAGCACAATATCGTAATAGTAAATATTGTATAAGCCCACACAGAGGAACATAAATTATGTTAAATATGTAAATAAATGAATAAATAAAGGGTAAAAGAGAATAAAATGAAGGAGCTCATGCAGATGTTTAGGAAATATCAGTAGAAAAATATAAATATACAAACACAAGTCCTGGTTCGAGTAAAATAGACGACGTCACATAAAAGCAAGTGTGAAAAATTTGGGATTAAAGACTTTAAAGAGAACCAGAAGCGAGGGGTCCTGAAGGCAAACGCTTCGTCACCTTTAGATGGAAGCCTGAGCCGGTCAGGAGGAGCCGCCTGAGGAGCTCAGTCTGCAAACTGGATCATCTGGAGTCTGTGTTTCTGATGTATAGCTCAGAACCGGACCCTGCCGAGCTCTAAAAGTGATCAATAAAGCCTTTAAATCAAAAACAAATGGGCGACACCTCAGTCTGGAAACGAGGCTTCACGTTGCTGTTTGTTCCTTCAGCACCTGCCGGCAGCTTTTTCAGCTCGACTCAAAGCGGCATCAGAGGCAGGACGTCCAGTAATATTTAAATGTGCGCCGTCCTTTGTTCTTTTATAGCCTCATGACTGTGGCGAGCATTTGGCAGCCACTTGGCGCTCTGATCTCTGTCCTTTGGCTTCGGCCTCCGGTGTCGTTTTCACCACGTCCATGAAGCTCAGCCACACCTAAAGCTCTGCAGCCAACAGCTTCGTTTAAACCTTTGTTTGTGTTTATTGGTGCACAGATTCTCACATGGTGCATTTTGTGCAATGCAAAGCTAGCTTTCTTTATTAACACTCTGTCTTTCAGGAGACTTAAATATGTAAGACCAACAGAAGAGAAGCGTAGACGGATGAGTAAATGTGTCTACCAGGCACAGGCCCTGTGTTGACCTGATACCTCACAAAATGCAAGAAAAGGGGACCTATATTAACCAAAGAGAGACAAACTGAGCAAAATTAAATGCAAAACAACCACTAGGAGACAGGAAATGGCTAAAAACCGGCCCCAAATTTGGTTAATTGAGAGTTAAATTGCCCCCAAGGGGTTGTTTTTTGTTTTTTTTTCCTTTCAGACCTCATTACCGTCTTTGCACGCAGGACAAAAAAGCAGCACTTGCAAGAATATCTCTGTGCATCATTTATTTTAAACAATATTTTGAATAAATCCCAGCTATTGGCTTCTACATAAATATCATCTCAGTAATATTATGACAACAAACAGGCTGCATTTTGCTTTTTTTGAGACGTTGGTTTGCGTCTGACTCCTGCAGCAGACACATCTCCCGTTTCCTCATTTAAATTTATTCATTTTAAGTTATCACAAATGGATAAACGCCGCGTAGGGCTGCAGCTAACGACTGTTTCCGTGTTGAATAGTCGGCTGAGTGCGTTCTCGGTTGATCCGTTTTATTCAGGATGTTGTCATTTACTGCACATCCTCACATGTCTGCAGCTTGGACCAGAGGCTGGTTGTTTGCTGTGTTTTATTTGTTTCAGCTCGTTGTTTTAATGAATATGAAGGTTTGTTTGATTCAGGTTTCAACTGCTGTAGTGCAAACATCGACTTTTAAAGCGGTCCAGAAGTCAGATCTCAACCCTGAAGCCTCCCGTTAGCAAAATAATTTAAAATCAGTTGAAAAATACAGAAATAAAACATTAAAAAAATCAAACATGAGCAGCTGAAACCCTGTTTTATGTGCAGCAGTGCCTTGTGTTTGTAACCGTCCTTGTCTCGCTGCAGTCAGGATGGGTGGAGCTGTGAGTGCCGGCGAGGACAACGACGACTTGATTGACAACCTGAAGGAGGCTTACTACATCCGCTCTGACCTGGTGGAGCGAGCCTTTCGAGCTATCGACCGGGCCGACTACTACCTGGACGAGTACCGGGACAACGCCTACAAGGTGAGCAACGTCTGTGGAGTCGGTTCCGAAGAAATTCGAAGCTGGTGAAGGACAGCTGTGAACCAAAGTTTACATCCGCTTGTGAAGACCGTGTCTATCGCGGCAGGCTTGAGTTTCCAAAGACTCCTATGAGAATCAGATTTTTTTTTTTGTGGTGGAGTAATTCAAAACAAATGCATCACAAAAAACAATCGTGCATTTTTGGGTTTTTTAATAGGTTTATTAACGGTCTTCTGGAAATAAAACTGAAGCTGCAGCGTCAAAAATATACATACAGCAACTTGAATTATCAGTTCTGGTGATGGAGAAAGCTGTGTTCAGCAAATTCTGTCAGTAGCACGGCCTCTTCACTGCTCATGAATTATTACAGCTTAAGCATGGCGGCGGCAGCATCATGCTCTGGGACTGTTCTGCTGCCTGTAGACCTGGTGCTTTACAAAAAGTAAATGTAATGATGGAGGAGGAGGATCACCTCCACGTTCTCCTGGAAGACCTAAAATCATCAGAAGGTTAGAGTTTGGACACAGTTGAGTGTTTCAACCAGACAATGATCCCAAACACACATCAGAAGTGGTAAAGAAATGGTTCAGTCAGGCTGGAGTGAAGGTTTTAGACTCGTCTCCCCAAAATACAAACTTAAATCCATCCAGAACCTGTGATGAAGAACCAAGTCTGTGTCAGAAAGAGAACAAGTTTAGTTTGACTGCACCAGTTCTGTCAAGAGAAGTGGTCCAAGATCCAACCAGAAGCTTCTACTAGGAGCACCTAGTTGTGGTGAAAATGGGCAAAGATCCTTCAACTAAACGTTAGAGTTGTTGCAGGTGTGATATTCTTAACTCAGCAGATTTTGTCATATTTCCAGAGGACCTATAATAAATCTATAAAAGAACCAAAATGCGTGCCAAAGACTCAGACCTATTGGAGTCATTGGACTGACATGATGCCATACGTAGTCTTTTTTAAACTTCTTTTCATAATATATTTAATTTAAAGGCGCCATTTCACAGAACTCAAGGTCACTGAACACTGAGTTAAAACGAGATAAAACCTTACACAGGAGGTACGAACAGAAATCTAAAACCAAGTGAAGCACAGTCTCACTGGGCTAGCACTGGTAGCTGGAAGAGGTGGGGTTTGAGTTGTTTTTGAATTTGGGGAGAGAGTCCAGGTTCTGAGGTGGTGGGGCGTTCCAGAGCCGGGGAGCAGAGCGGCTGAATGCCCTGCTGGTGGTGAAGGGGGCAGGAGGGCAGGAGGGACTGTAGGGTGGAAGTAGGAGGCAGATCTGAGGGAACTGATGGGATGATGATGTGGATGAGGTTGGACAGGTATGGGGGGGAGGGGCTTGAAGGTATACAGTAGGATACAACTACATGCTGTTCCTTGTTTTTTAGGACTTGGCGTGGCGACATGGAAACATCCACCTGTCTGCTCCGTGTATCTACTCGGAGGTGATGGAGGCTCTGGATCTCCATCCTGGACTCTCCTTCCTCAACTTGGGCAGCGGGACCGGCTACCTGAGCACCATGGTCGGCCTCATCCTGGGTACGTGGTAACACCTCCAATAATACAGCCAGTCTAGTCATTACAGCTTGACATGTACTACATGTGAGCTTTAGGAGACGTGAACAGCAGTGTGACGCTGCTGCTGTGGATTCAGTGACTTAAGCTTTCAGCTCCAATTTGAGCCCCATTTTTGTAAGCATATATATATATGTTCACTTTTTTTTAAATATGGCACCATTAAAAGTACATCAAATGATCTAATAGCAGCTCCTGTTGGCAGCGTTACCTGAGCATGAACAGACAGCTTCACGAGATGTTCAAGAAAATCTAAAAATATGACTCTCGGGCAAGTTCTGGAGATCTTTTTGCATCTTTTGTACCTTGCCTAGGTGTATTTGATTGAGCTCTGTTTTTGATTCCAACTACAGTAATCAGTTACTAAACTTTTTAAAGTGCCTCTAATGTCTCCATGACCTGTACGACCGCTGACTGTGTTTGTTTATGGTCCAAATAAACAACACCAGCTTGTGTCTGTGCCTTCAGACCTCACACAGTGTCTCTAATATTTGTGATGTTTGATCAAATTCTTCTGAGTTAAAGGAAAAAAACAAGGAAAAACTTATTAGATGATTAAGGGCTGCAAGGTGGCTCGGTGGTTAGCACTGTTGCCTCGCAGCTAGAAGGTCACTGGTTCGTGTCCCTGTGAGGACACCCAGGATCTTTCTGTGTGGAGTCTCCATGTTCTCCTCATGCAGTGTGGGTTCTCTCCGGGTTCTCCGGCTTCCTTCCACAGTCCAGAAACATGCTGAGGTTAATTGGTGATTCTAAATTGTCTGTAGGTGTGAATGTGAGTGTGCTTGGTTGTCTGTCTCTAAGTGTAGACCTGTGATAGACTGGTTACCTGTCCAGGTGAACCTGCCTTCACCCTGAGTCAGCTGGGATAGACTCCAGCCCCCCATGACCCTGGTGAGGATTAAGTGGTGTATAGATGATGGATGGATGTTATTGATCTGTTGAATTTTGCCAACATGCACAAACACAACTGCGATGTTTGTTTGCTTCCTGCTCCCGGTGTCCACCTTTAGTTTATCAGTCTTGATGCCACTTAACCGATTACCAGTTAACCATTAACATCTCCAGCTGTGAGCTGTGCTGGCAGAGACACTGGAACAGCTTTGTACCATCTCTACAATAAATGCAGCTCTGACTGGAATGAACTAGAAGGCAGAATGAAGCCCAGAGGCGTCCACAAGGGGGCGTGGTTGGTGGACCAGAACACATCTGTGCTAGAAATACAGATGCGCATTTCAGTGTTTATGGTTGATGTAGCGCTAATAAGGGCTGAGTGATCAGGAGGAGAGCCACAATCTGAATATTGATCCTCCCGTAAGGTTTAGTTGTGATCACATGATCAGTTGTGTTTGTCGGACACAAGTTCTGTCATTTCAACTCAAGTCTAAGTTCTTTGATGCTGCTCGTTGCCGCTTTTCTTAGTCTGCCGTGAGGTTTATGTTTATGTTTACACTAATCAGGCTTTTGCACATTTCATGTGGAGTCATCAATCAATCAATCAATCAGTCAGTCAGATTTGTGCAGCACCTTTCATACGGGTCAACGCATTTCAAAGTTCTTCACAAATGACTGAGAAGCCGATAATAAGACAGAACAAGTAGAGAGAAAATTCAAACGTGACTAAAAAAACTAGACATAACAGAGCAGCTAAGTTGTTGTTTAGTTATTTAATGATGCGATCTGTTCACTGTACACCAAACTAAGAGCGTCTGGGCAGAAAGTCTGCACAGTTCTGCTTGGCTGCTCCGAGGCTGGTTGTGAAACGAGGTCAAACGTGACTGTTGTTTTCAGCTGATTCACAAAGACGGCACGGGACAGACTTTGGTAGCCAGTAGTAGTTTGGATCCATCTAAACATTTGTTAAAGATTGATTTTTTTTAAAAAACGATGTAAAAAATACAGTTTTAATAATCATGTCTGCTGCAGCGCCACCTAGAGGTGTTGGTCAGTGGTTCATGTAGCTTGAATCTGGTTAATCCTGCAGTCGTGTTTTATCACTTTATTTAAATGGACCACAGCGAGGGGTTTCTAGTCAGTCTTCTTTCAAAAGCGTCGGTGCTGTATCTACATTTTGTCTGAATGAGGGGGAAACACGCTGGCACACGTTCTTTAATAGAAACAGACAAACCCAGAGTTCCTTTCTATCCAAATGGAATCCAGGTGTGTTGTGACGGCTCCGTCTTAAAGCAGGTTAAATCCTGTAAACACCTATATGATACATGTGATTGATTAAATCCTGTGCCGACTGTCCAGGACCCTTCGGAGTGAATCACGGCATCGAGCTGCACGCCGACGTGATTGAATACGCCTACCAGAAGCTCGACTCCTTCATCAAAACCAGCGACAGCTTCGACAAGTACGTGTCAGCCATGTTTGTTCTGTGTTTACTCCTGCAAACCCTCGCGCTTCACTGCCGCCGCCTCTCTTCAGGTTTGAGTTCTGCGAGCCGTCCTTCGTGGTGGGTAACTGCCTGGAGATCCCTCCGGAGAGCCGACAGTACGACAGAGTTTACTGCGGAGCCGGAGTGCAGAAGGAACATGAGGATTATATGAAGAACCTGCTGAAGGTGGGAGGCATCCTGGTGATGCCTCTGGAGGAAAAGGTGTGTGTCTGAAGTCTCCGTAATGCTCTGCTACTTGTTCTGTCTTTATTTGACTCTATCGCTGTCTGGAAATGCTACAGACATGAGAATTGCACTTCGATAAAGTTGAAGATATCCAGATATCCTAACTTTCAGTCCCTAATGTGGGTTTCTCATAATGCTGCATCCTCCCCATAATGCAGTTCAGTCAGTAGTGTCAGTCTTCAGCCTCAGGCTCAATCCCAAAGCAGGATGTTCCTGAACACATCATCAGGGCTGTTATTCAGATTTTTGGAAGCTTAATCAAGATCCACAGAAGACATTATGCAACTGTTGAATATCGTAAACTATAGAATTTCCACCAGAAGGTCCAGAAATTGAAAGTTCCAGGGACTAATGTCTGGGAACTCTTAAAACAACTAAGTTCCTTCATCAGTCATGCAGCTCATTTAATAGAAGGTGTGTTTTTAACTTGAAGACAGCATAATGTGGGAAGTATTTCAGTACATTTATGCTTAATATGTGCACAGTACAGTCTTTTAAAGGTTTAAAGGCTTTGATTACACGTGTTTTAAGTATTTCCAGTAATTTTTTTTTACCTAATACATGCACAAGATTGATTTGACCGCTTTAGTTGCTGTTTTGTATATAGATGAAGATCTTACATACAAAAGAGCTGATAAAATATAAAGCCCTCACTAACTGCTTTGTCCAAATCTATAAAAAATAGTCTCACGAGAATTTTACAACCATGAAATGCTGCCTCCACTTTTTAAAATCTGTAATATCATCAGTATTACCAGTAGTAATAATAATAATAATAATAATAAACCTTGTTTTGTGCTGTACTTAACATGAGATACTAAATTAACAGAAGACAACAAAACATTCGTAAAGACAACATAACAACCTTAAAATCAGCAACAACAGAAAGAATGAAATATTATGTAAGTGCTTGTTAGTATAGGTGGGTTTTTTGTTTTTGTTTTTTTTAAAAAAAGGCTTTTTATAACTCAATATAATAAACCTATATTACAGTCTAGCACTGAGAGGAGACGTTTTCTGAAGGAGGAAATACTTTAAACAAATTTTGCACCATTTTTGCTTGTAAATAAATACTTTACATTCACAGCGTTGCTTCTTTTTGAAGCTGAATCCTCGCTCTGCTCACGCCTTTGTCATGGAGTTAAATTACTGTCAGCTACGTTGCTCATTCTACCCACACAATTAAATCATCTGGAAAAAAATGTCTTCCACACAAAACACAAATAAAACTCGATCCTGTTGTTATTTCTGCAGCTGACCAAGATCACCCGTACAGGAGTGAACAGCTGGGAGACCAAAAAGATCATCTCGGTGTCCTTCGCTCCTCTGGTGCTGCCCAAACACAGCACCAACGGCAAACCCAAGACCGTCCCACTGCGTGAGTCTCAGCTCTGCTTTTGGTCTCATTCGTTGGGTCATTCTGATTCACTGAATGTGGATCATTCAGTGATTTTGTCAGATTTTTCTTCTGAGCATACGTATGTTGTTAAGTAAAACCTGGAGTCAAAGGTTACATTAGATCTGACATGTTTTACTTCACAACATACAAGAAAAAAAAACATCTGACAAATATGGGATTGTTTTGTGAGAACTTTTTTTCTTTATTGAGGTGGAATGATCCTGTTGTGTCTCCTGTCTTTGTTTCTTACCGTTTTTCTTCCTCCTGTATTTTGCAGCCAAGTACGAGGTGCGGACGTTACAGGAACTGGCTCGCATCTGCATCCGTCACACCCTCAGAGTGACCACGGACGGAGGCGACAGCCAATCCCGCGGCCGAGGCTCCTCCTTCAGCGTGGGCCGCGGCCTGGCCGTGGCGGGGCTCCACAAGTACGGGCCTCGCTTCAAGCGCCGGCGGGTCCACCGGCGCCACTGCAACGCCCTCGTCCTCGCCACCCGCCAGGTGGTGGCGAGCAGCGGCATCGGCCCCGCCCCGCTGGACAGCAACAACAACCAGGACGAGGAGGAGGCGGGCGAGAGGGAGGCCAGGCGGCCGGTGAGGGGCAGCAGGAGGTCGGGCAGAGGAGGCGGCGGCGGCGGCAGCGTGGTGGAGGAGGAGGAGGCGGTGGAGGAGGAGGACGAAGAGGAGGAGCAGGAGGAAGAGGAGGAGAAGGAGACGGGCGAGCTGCTGCGACCACAGCCGGCCGTCAACCTCCTGAGGGAGCGAATCCTCGGCCTGCCGCTGCCAGAACCGCTCAAGATGTACCTGCTGTACTACCGGGAGAAGTGAGGCCCGGCCGGGAGCAGCCAGGTCAGAGCCCAGAGCTGGAATCCTGCAGGGGCCGACGCCTCTTCCAAACCCCCCCAACACCACCTGTACAAGGCAGGACAACACACCTGACCGACCCCCGGCTCCATCACGGGTCTCTTTCTCTCTCTGTCACCTGCCCTCATCCTCTCCATCATCCATCCTCTTTCCTGCTCCTCTTTTCGCTCTGATCTGTAAAGAGTCCGTCTGTCCAGTGGAGGGGGGAGGGAGGGAGGGTGATGCTACGACACTCTGCGCCTCCTTTGAAGGTGCAGAGACACAGAAATCGGTACGTAACACATGTCTATGAATTGGCTCTGCAGCTCTGTATAACTAATATCGCCTAACAACAGCTTTACGGTGCAACGTAGCGGCGCTGCCAGACGTTCAGGTCAAACACTGTAGCAACAAGCAGAGAGAGACCAGACGGCGCTCTTCTATCTAGTGTAGGCTGAAGCTGTGGGAGCTGGTGTGATTTAACATCTGACGGGGACGCGGTGTTGTTTTTTAACGAAGGGGGACGCAGAGTTCTGCCAGAAGAAGAAGAAGTGCGTTTCCTTCGCCGATGTTGCGTCTACAGCTAGCGGGTGACCAAGATGGCGGGTGGTGACTATTTCCACTGATTTCCAAATAAAACGGGAGCTTCGCCTCGAGCCCCCCGGTTCATTAGATGATTTAGCTCGTAGGATAATGCCAGTTTATCTCCACCTGCCGCGTTTTCCTATTAATGCGGCGCGCGCGTTCGTAAGGAGACGCGGCAGGTCGACATACACCAGAATTAGCCTTTAAATATATCCAATGCCAAGGGTTGGTCGTCATTTCAAAGCATTTTTAGGAGTTGATTTACTGGAAAGGTTGAGTTTTTCCCCTTTTCTATGCATAATGTTTCATTGTGTGAGTCTACCGACTTTAGATCCTTACATGCATATCCAAAGGGCAGCCTCACTGTTTTTCTCTACATCCCATAATATTCTCTTAACCGAAAGAGAACGACCATAAAAAAAAAAACAGATCACAACTTACTAATATTCCATTTTACATGATTAAACCAGCATGATAACAACACAGAAGTAACGTTTTCGATGATCGACTGCAAGTTTTTCTCTCACTGTGCTTTTCTTTTTTCTTGTAATGTCTTTTTTTTTCTTTTTCTTTT